TGGGGGAACCAACTTGCTCATCATCTTTCCTGCCCCTGTTTTATAATAATCAATGAAACAGCATCAATCAAAGCAGCAAAATCCATCAAAAACGAGAGCAATTGGAGACAGATTTATGGCTGTCTGTCTTCCAAGAGCTGGGACAATAGCACATTATATTCACGGCAGAGAAATTCAGTATCTTGGTGACAGTTGCCACTGGAAAAGAAGAGAAGCTTTTCCAGGTCACAGCACTGCTTTGAAAAATGTCTTCTTTTAGGGCATAGGTGGAGGCCAGAGGGCCTTTTCTCCCCAAATGGTGTTTTCACAGCAGGGTTTTTCAAAACTTCTTGTTGCATGTTCTTCCCAGCAGGAGACTGGCACCAAGCTGCGTGCCTTCAGAGACGCACAGGTTCTCATTTCCCCCCCGCCCCCAGGGTCAAAGACTGAAGAAATCCGTGAGAAGGGAGGGAGGGAAGAATCTCCTAATGGGACTTCCCTCCCTCCCTCCCTCCTTGCAGGTTTCTTCAGTCTTGGAAGCAGGAGGTGCCCAACCCTCCTCTTTCCATCCCCCACTCCTGGCATGGCACTAGAACCTGCCTGGTTGGCGAGACTGCCTGGCCCAGTTGGCGGTAGAGGGTCCACCCCTGCCTTTCCTGAAAAGTGCTTTTCATTCCTCCATAGCCTAATGGCTTGTAGACCACAGGATTCAGAGGAAAGCAGGAGCCACATCAAATAGGACATTCCTCCCCATCCATGGGGCTGGACGTGGATCTTTCCTCCCAAAGTTGTTATCCAAACGGGTTATTTGAGATGTTACATCTTTGGTTGGGTAGGAAAGCTGGTGTATGGGTAAATGGGCCTCCACTGTTCTGCTCGATTGGCCAGAATTGTGGGGCAGGTCATGTCTTGTAGGCATTCTTGAAGATCTTCCCTTAAATGTACACATCTATTGAAGTGATTCTGCTTTATAGGTGGGACTTTTTCAAGCTCCTGTGCCAAGTGGCATAAAAAATGCAAAAGTGATGGGAACCTGAGACCCCAGCGGAACAGAAGAAAAGCTGTGAATCTGTGGGATAACGTGGATTACCCTCAGTCGAGATCGCCTCCAGATCTTGCATTCAATTGTTATGAGGTCAAAAACAAACTAGATGCATTTTAGGGCAGGACGGCTTCAGAATGTGGCATTTTTTAAAAGGCTTCCGTAGAACAAGATCTCCCTGCAAGTAAAAAATAGCTTGTCAAGGAGAAAGTGCTGCGGTGTTTGATTTCCTGGGTGCCCTAACTATGAACACACCCAAAAATATTTCTAACATGAGGAAACAGCAGAGATGTTAACTGTCTATCCTGCAGAGAGATTCCCTCGTCTTGAGTACCAGCCTCTCATGCACAACTGGGTACAGGAGTATGACAGCTATGGAGGTATTAAGAATTCATGAAAGGGAAGGCATTAAAAAATGTCTGATAGACGAAGCTTATATTCTGGATCCCTGAACATCTTTCTCCAGCAGAGAAGGGCAGTTCCGAAACAGCAGCGCAGGCAGAAAAAAAATATTCGATTCTCTGTGTGCAACCGTGTCATATTGATGCCACTCAATCAGCTCTCTTTAAAAAGCAGCAACAAATAATGGAACCTCTCCTTCCTGCCTCTCTGCAGCCAAATTTGTTTTCCTCTCGAGTCAGGCTCATCGGCAGGGTTTTCTCCTTCGATCGCCCACGCTGGTTTCCTGCCTGCTCTTCCAGATTCTGCTCCAGTTTCTAGATTCCAAGAATGGTATTCCTGGCCATTCACCTAGCACTTTGTCCTGAGCTGGTGCCAACTCTTGGCATCGTAGGTCCAGGGTCCTTGTGGCCTGGCAAAGGTTCTGGCACACCTCCCCCTTCAGATGTTACTGCCCTCCACTTTTGCAATGTTCTTCTTCTCCCCTACCTGCCCCACCCTCTCCGAAGTTGAATTGCAGGCTTGTACTGAAGTATCCTGGGGTATCTTCCTATCCTCTTCCTTCCTCATTAGAATAGACCTGAAATGTTTCTCAGTTATGTATTTGAAATATACAGAAGCCGTCCAGAATCCGGTGGCCTTAAAAATCCAATCAATCCATCAAGCAATCAATCAATGCCTCCTGAAAAGAAGTCAGTGCCAAGGGTGACCCCAGCCTGGACAGCTTTATGGATCTCCCCAGAAAGGGCTGAACTCAACTTGGAGGGGGCTTTAACTTTCAAGCTAAGCTAGGACTTTTAAGGATCTCACCTTAGATTTGGCCGGCAGGTCCTCCACTCCTACAAAGAACCAATCAGAGACGAGCCCTCACCAGCCTGCACCAATCGGAAACCAGCTCAGCTAAAAGGCCAATCAGAAGTCAGGACCCTGGCTATAAAGGCAGGAGCCCAGTCAGTCCTTGCTCAGTTGCCCATGGTCTATACATTGGGCCCCCTTGCCTCTGAAGATGCCAGCCACAGTCCAGAAATTAGTCCTCTGGACCACGACCCCCAAACCCTGAAGTCCAACACGCCCAAAAGGTCCTACGGATTGCTCCACCAGACTGAGGGTTTTCCCACGGACTTTCCAGGCGGCCTCGTCCCTGTTTCTCCCGTCTTCCCCAGCCTGTTTTCCTCCTGAAAAGTCAGCCGAATCTTGGATCTTC